AACAGCACTGGGAAATTTTACAGACAATATCAGGCGTTCTAATGTTATGTTGTGTTATTTTTGTGTTGCCTGGCAACAGCTTTCTAGTTGGAACTATTTGTGTTGGCAGAGCTAAATAAATGATTGAATAAACTAACAAATCATAATCTTATGTCACTTATTATTGTTAAATATGAAAATTTGCTCTTAGAACTGTTGTATAAAAACAATATCACATGAGAGGGAGTGCTGTTGTGCCTTATATCAGCACTGGTGTGATTATTTACGGATTAATGATATGAATCACACAAATGCATATATTCAACACAACATCACTCCCTCTTGTGTGATATTAGTTAATTATGAAATTTAAAAGGACATAGCCTACCTAAAGCAAAGGAGTGAAGTTCCCAGCTGGCATCGATGAGGTGTGCAGTAATACCGAGGTAGTTATCATTATTGACAGATGTCCAATGATCCCCAGTCAGTGCTACACAAGGTGCCTCCACCAACTTCTCATCTTTTGCGGCTTTCTTTGCAGCGTGCTGGTCATGTATTCTCCTCACGATTGTTCGCCTCGCAGGTAGTTTGTAGGATGAGTCACCCGTGGCCGCCTGGAGAACAAGCTCGAGCCCATCATCTTCGACCACGCTGATGGGTCGGCAGCTCGTGGCAATCCACTGAGCAAGGAGATTAGGGAGGTTACTTGATAGAGCTGCACTGATGGGCTTGCCTCGGTTGCACTCGAACATAGTAGTTTGATGAAAACTCTTCCCCTGCGCTACACTTGGCCCAGCATCTTCCAAATTAGCTAAGGGATGTTTTGCGTTTAGGTGGTACTTGAGACTGGAAGAACTTCTACAATCTACAGTAAACAAATTCCACATTGCACAAGGTGCACACAACTTTAGTCTTGTCAAGCTTTCCATTGGGAAACTTCTTTAAAATGAATTTTCCCTGGAGCAAACCCAGCGGCTTCATAGGTACATCCATGTCGGCGCATCACGTTTGAAGATTCCTCTGGCATTAATGATGTTCTCTTTCGCACCCTCAGGTATACATCTGCGTCCGCGCCGAGTATACATCTATACATCCGCGCCAACCAGGTATACATCCGCTCAATGTAAAAGTCATCATAGCTTACTTAGTATAGACCCAGATCCCAACCCAACTTTGAGAATAGATGAACGGCGTCATTTTTTTTAACGCGCAATAAGTCCGGCTTTGCCGCAGCACGTTAACGCCGTTAACGGCCCACCCCTAATATATATATATATATATATATATATATATATATATATATATATATATATATATATAACCATAGATGGTTATATATATATACACAAAACTATCTTTCACCTTTTTGTCTTGATTTCAATTGCCAAACTTTCCAAAATCTCATCAACAGCTGTGGTGTCTGGAATCTTACATTGAAAACTTTTCTGCATATACATTGCCACTCCACCACTATTTTATTTGTTTTACTAACAAAAAATCATATCCTAATACAAAATTAGCATATTTTTTCTTTCTTATCCACATTTCACTTAAAGCAATAGCTTGAAACGTATGTTTTAATGACTCTAAATAGTCTTTGATAGTCTATGTAAAATTGGCATACAAACTTCTACAGTTAAAGTGTATGATAGAGAAACCTTCCAAATTAACATTACTCAAATTTTCTGAATAATAATCATAATTGACTCGAAAGTCATCATACAGGTTTTTTTTCAGGGTCAATACCATTTTCTAAATTAAATGGTCCATGTTCATCCAAACTAGAAAAACATAATTCCTCAATATTATTTCTAACTAAAGAGTCCAGAGGAGTAACTCTCACCTTCCACAAAAACTTTAAACTTGTCATTTGATAAAGGGAAGAAAGAAAAACAAGCATGTCCATCATTTCTCATCACAACCACCTTAGCCTGCTCTGGTGAACCATTTAATCACCACCTTCCCATTTCTGGACCATGTTGACTGATTTTTATTCTGCTTCCTGAGGATTCGACAATTTCTAGCAATTTTGGCATTTTTTTTAGTCAAGTGCTCATTAATATACACACCGGTATCTAAGTTTTTTAGCCTGTCTCAATATTTCAGCCATGTGCTTTCTATTAGCAAATCTGACTACAATGACAGATGAATGAATTCTGTCCTTGCGAGGGAGAATACAACAAACTGAGATTTGATGACTCTAGTGAGTGTTCTTACTGTTGATGAATTCAACCACTTGTTGCTTTAGTGCGTTGCTCCTCAGGATGTTCCTCCTCCTCCCCTGGATGTTTGCTTGTTGTAGCAGCAACTCAAGCATAGCTGTGATGGGTGGTAGCCAATAATAATTTCATCCACATGTGAATGTTGCTCCATATCATCAGTCCTTTGTTCCAGCAGTTCAATTTTCTCTTCAATCTTCATATTGCTGTTATTAATAAAGGCTTTCAGCTCGGAAATGTCATTCACTCGGCCCAAAAGGGTGGTTTGTTGAGACAACACTTTGTTAATGTTCTCAGTCATAGCAGTAAGTTGCTTCCTAATTTCTTCCCGTTCTTGTTCAAGCTGCTTAACCATTGACATCTTTTCCAAAAAGTGAAAAATAGTTATTTCAAATACAAATATTTCTGGGTAGACTTAATGGATACTGCTCTTTTCCAAAGACTCCATGTGGTTCCAGGTCTCCAGCAACAAACCTCCAAAACAGAGCCAATGTCGTCCAGCAGAGAACAAAAAAGCACCATAGCACCAAAGCACTTTGATTTTGTCAACAAATACTTTGTTCTCTAAAGGATTGCAGTGGATTCCATTGAGACTCCATACAGAGAAAGTGCAGCAGCAGCCATCTTGAAAAACTTTTCTGCTGTGAAACCTCACCTGGAATCCCTCTGATCATCACATATGTCAATGAGTTTGATCTTTGACTTTTTTGTGGAGCAGATTCGCCTGAGATAACATCTGGCTGTAACCGTGGTAGCTGCATTTGATGGAAAATACCTTAAAATGGGCATTAGCATTTCCACTTGTGACAGTGCTGTGGCCTCACTTATCAGGAAGATCTGCTGAATAGGACCAAAGAGCAAGGGACAGTTTAGTTCATAGTGTGGGAGGAAGTAAGACCAGCCGGAGAAAACCCACATATGCCAGGAGAGAACATGTTTACTTCACGTTGAAAGGCCAGTACTGGGATTCGTACCTGCAACCTTCTCACATCCAGGCAACAATGCCACCAAGCCTTTTTAGGTAGTTGTCTTTTGCACCTTTTCCTATTTATTAAAACCACCTCAGCATAAATAATATTCCATTTCAAAATCTTGCAACTGTGAGGACGCAGAACACAAATTCGTAACTCTTGCCTGTATAAAAAGTTGTTATTTCCCCTTTGGTTGCTGTCTGCACGAGTGAGGCTAATGTGAACTAATATAGTATAGCTTCTGCAGAGACAGGTGCTGCGCTTTAGCAAAGTGCAACTCAGCATTAAGGCTCAACAAGTGGCACGTTTCACCAATAGCACAGGGATGCCAGCTGGACATACCAGGTGTCACCCTATATCTTTCATCTTTTCCTTCATTCAAGGAGGCAGGAGACGCCTGTCCAAGCCATCAAGCTGATTCTGTCCCAGTCGCCTTGCTAAAAAAGGCCTGAAGGTCATACACAGACGTGCTTTTGCATTTGCTGTTTCACGTCACATGTCTGGTGCATGGTGCAAAAATTGATATGTGTCATGCAACATGCAGAAAAGAGTTAAAAGGAAAGAAAAACATATTAGCATATTTTGGTTTTTGGAGATAAACATTATTATTGTCTACTTTAGCAGTTTCCTATGATTATTTAGGGGTTTTGGCTGACACCATCATGTCTCACTCACGAAAGGGAATTTAGGAATATTATTTACACAACAGTCAGAAAAAGTTGGCTAATATAAATCAAGACATACAGATGATGCTAATCCACAAGAAACTAAGGAAAATGCACAGAAGCAGGACATGATTAATAAAATATTTAAATAGACATTAAAACAACACAGCCCAATAGAAGCAGGCCAAACTGTTTCCTTGTTTAAAACTGAAAAAGATTTCTAATTTTCTTCATGAAACCAGGCCTTCTTTTCCTCACATTTCACTTCCTTAAAGTATAAAACGTGACTGTTTCAACACAACTCTCTATTTAAATTGACCTAAATGACTTGCATCTACTATAAATAACCATTGCCATTATTTCAGACACCATTGCAGACATTCAATCTGGTACGTGCACAACAGCACCCTTCTCCAATGGATGCATTCACACTGGATCTATCTGAAACCACAGAGGCGGCAACACCAGCAAAAGAATGTGACCTCTTTTTCTCCTGAGGCATACGGTTCTCCCCATGTGACAAGAGAACCTCTTTCCAACACGCCTACTGGATTCCATTACTTTTTAGTGAGCTGCTGTGGGAAAATGAGACGGATCTGATTTCTGCAAGTAAATCTCTGCTGAGATGATATGTGATGAGAGTTAATCTGCTGATGAACCATGCAACTGTGTCCAGTGTTCGACCTGCCAAATATTAAAAACTCATGCATGCACAAACACAGTAAGATGAGACTTTCTGGCTCAAGAAATGCAGATGAAGCTTCCTCTTCACTATCAGGTTTATGTTGTGTTACTATTCATTTTTGGGGAATATACAACTTGTTTGGTATATGACAATAGATTGAACCAATAACAATGGCAGACACTTTACATCATTTGAATTAATGGGCGTGAACGTCCCCAAATGAGTGTTTTATGCTAGTTTCTTTCTCATCTCCAGACTAAAATTGGTATAAAACAAGAAAACCTTCTCAAAATACAACTACAAGGATTGCTAAAAAGATCCTTGTTGATAAAATGGTGAAATATATATAAAAGCTGTAAGTTAATAAACCGCAATAAGTCAAAAACTTTAAAAAATATATATTTATTTTATTTGTTCGGACCAAAGCTAAGTCACTTAGCAACACGGATGTGCTCCACAAATATAACTGGACGGTAATTCCACTCGAGGACTTTCCACAGCCAATCAGCAACAAGTTGTGAAACTGAACTCGTGCTCTGATTGGTTGAAAAATCTCAGCAGCTGACTAGAAGAAGCTATAAAGATAAATCAGAAGTTGTGCTTGCAGGAGAGTGTTTGTAAGTCGATGAAGAGTCAAGAGTGAAAGCTGCGGTGGAGAGAGGATTTATTTATGAGAAAACGCGTGAAGTTAATTACTTCATTACGTGTTTAAGGTAAGTAGTTATATTATTTTGAGGGGGGGTTCATTTGAATGAATAACGGCTGCATTTTTAAAGCTATCTAGCTAAATGTGTGTTTTTTAGCTTCAAACGGCAGTTTATTGATTTGAATTAAATTTTACATGCAGTTTGAATCAGGAGCTTCGAAAGGGAAACGTCATCATGGTCGCCACGAACAAAATGAAGAGCAAGAGCACGGAAGGGCAGGCTGAGAGGAGATATGCGCAGGTGTGCATGGAGAAAGGTGAGCGTTCTGGTGTTTTCTGTGTGGCGTTAGAGACGTGTGTTGGTCATTTCCAGCTGCTTGTGTCCGTGTTGGTGCATGGCTGCTGCAGCAGCTAGAGGGGGAAGGAGGGGTGTCCACCAAGATGAAGTCATCCCATCAGCCTCTGTGCAGCCTGGAGATGATGGTTCAATTGTCTGTTAACGCAGTTATTCTCGGGAGATTAGCAGTCTCGGTTTAAAAGTTCTGGCAGTTTAATCCTCTTCCCTTCAGTGGCACACTGCAGCCTGGTGCTGAAGTCCAGTCTTTATGTTTTGCTTTCTAAAGGTCCGTGTTTGGATCCAACTTTTCAAATGTGCCTCTCTGGTTGTTTTCGTACGAGGTTGGGTTAGATCCATCATCCATGTTTTAAATTTAAGAAGTTAGACTTTAGAGTTTTAAAAAATCTGGCATAATCGATGCCCTCTAATAAAAGAAACGGTCAAAAATGTCCCCCTAAACAAAGGTTTTGCATTCCTGCAGCTATTTTTAGATTTTGCCATGAAAGTTTCAGTCAAATGTGGTACATGTCTTAAACTTTATGGTCAAAAGTTTTTGTCTAAATTATTTTTTATTATTCGAAATATTGTCAACCCTGCATCAACAAACGCTTTGTCATGAACATCTGTAGTAAGCAAATGTCTAACCCTAATGCTGAGCAACGCTAAATCCACTTTGCACACATTGCATGAGGCTTTAGGGTAAGACACTTTAACAAATATCTAAATATCTAAACTCTTGCATATTTCTGGAAAGTAAGAAAACTTTAGATTGCTGTTTCAAACTAGGAAACTTTGTCGTTAGAATTAGTTATAGGAAGTAACAGGATGCTTAAAATGTCTCAAATAATAAATTCTGTTTAGTTTTTTTTTTTTAAGATTTAAAGATAACTCATTTGACACGTAAAATAAAATTTTAACACCAACAAAGTGATTCCTGAAATGTTACTGTTTATGTCGCAAAATGTGAATATTAGTGACGCAAAACAAAAGGTTTTTCTGCTGCAACACCACTAGGAGCAGCTGGGTTTGTTTTAATTGTTATTTGGCCCTCAAACTGTTTACTTTAATCTTTTTCGGAAGACCGATGCCACTTTATGCTGTCATGATCAGGCACTGGACAGAAAATGGGTGGGGAAACCAGCCAATACTGAGGATAAACCTCAACTCATTGCTGTTTTCATATTAGTGTCGTGTGCATGATGTGATAAACTACCTGTTATGAAGTTGGTATTTGTTTTTGTAATTTAAATGGCTTCTAAATCTTCCCTAAATATTTGATCTCCTTTTTCCAGAGTTGGATTTCTGGGCTCGCTGCTTGGCTGAGCCTCCGATGGCTCCAGATGTAACGGAGGACAGGACCTGTCAGCAGTTGGCCAAGATGTTTGAAAACTGCCTGTCACGAGCCAAGAAGACAACACTCCACTGCTCCTCTGTGCTGGTACCAGAGAAGTTGACAAGGAAGATGGCTCATGAGGTCCTGCGCCTGGCATCGTGTGAGCCCTGCGGCCTGCGAGGCTGCATCTTTTACATCCACCTGGAGCTTGAAAAGGGCTGTAAGCAGCTGGAGCGCATCACATACGATTCCTCTGTGGTGCCCACCTTTGAGCTGACTCTGGTGTTCAAGCAGGATGGCACAGCCTGGCCCAGCCTTCGAGACTTTTTTATGGGCTCCTGCTTTGCACCAACTTTTAGACACGTACTCAAACTGAGTCCAGGATTCAGACTAGTTAAGAAAAAGCTGTATTCCACCTCGGCTGGCACCGTGATAGAGGAATGCTGAACTGTGATTCCGACGGGGTTCCGATTGGGAAATGCGCATAAGACTGAATGTGGGGCCCAAGTGGCATCTCATTTTCTACAGTGTTTTTGTACAAAAGTTCAAATGTTAGCCAGTCATCTTGAGATGTGAGGTTTAAAAGGCTTTGTTTCTAAATATGCCGTTTCATTGTGTTCTGAACATTTAAAGTTCCTTCTACGAGCTGTTGTTGCTCAAGCACAATTTTAAAATGTATTTTTCTTGCAAATGAATGTAAACTGTTCACGTGAACGTGTTTGAGCGGGTTTACCATGGGTACACTCTTGCTAATGACACTGGCCACTTTGTTGTTGCAGATGCATTGATAGCTGCAGCAGTAAACACACCGGTGTTTGTTTTTGGAGGGCCATATGTAAGCTACCTGTGATGTGCAGATCATTTTTAATACTTTTTATAATGTTGTTATGATGGGTAATGAGGATGCCTTAAAAGGAGGTGTATGGCCTTCACGCTGATCAATGCAACAACTGGTTTATTGCATTTTTTTATTTTTAATGCATCAAGGCTGAGCCTTCATATATAAATAAAACTTTTGTTCACCCAAATTAAGGCTAATTTATTTTACTCAGTCAAAGTCCACTATTTGCTTATAAAATGGTCAAACATTTACTCAGGTTTAATTCAGAGTATTTTAGTTAAAGTCTGAAATTAAGAGGTGTATTTTTTTTTTTTTTTTTTTTTTTGCAGTCATGACAAAGTTCATAAAAACAGTCAGATGATAGTAAAGCTTTTAGCAGAAGAGACCTAGCCCAGCCACGAACCATAGAGAGTTCAGTGGTAGGGCAGAATCTGTGGTTATCTTTCAGAACTGCACACGATTGGACAGAGCTAGGACCAATTGGCAACAAATGCTGTGATGTATTGTTACGGAAATCATTCAACAGGCCAGTCCGGTATATAGATGAAGCAAATGCACAAATACCTCCTTTTTCAAAATACAGGACCTGAGAATTAGTGATGGGAACTTCGGCTCTTTTAAGAGAACCAGTTCTTATAGTTTGGCTGTTAAATGGCTCCTCACATTTTTTTTTATTCATGACCAGAAATTATGTAAAATTTGTGCGAAATTAGACCAATCTACAAACTTGCATTAAATCAACTTTTTATTATTTGAAGGGTAACTAGGCAGTTTTGGCTTATTTTTAATACCTAGTGTCTGTTTAGTTGGAACCAAAAGCAAAACGTATCTATGTGAAATGTCTCCGCAGCTGTCATTAGCATCTACAGAAGGGGTTCATCAAACATGTCGGATGTGTTCATGATCTAAAACGGAGGAAATGTGATGGAAGCATTCTGGAGGGCCAGGTATGTCAGCTAAACAGCGACCACCACTCTGAAGTTGCAAGTGTGATATTCTGGCTACAGAGAGCGCTGGAGTCTCAGTGACATTTTATTAACCCTGTAAAGGATCATTTTAGCACATATTGGTTCATGAAAATGATTTAAAAATATGAAAAAGTTGCATAGTATCTGTTTCAATAACTTCTAACTATCCAACATGTGCAGCAAAGCAAAATTTAAATAATAAAAATCAACTAAGTAAAATATTTATAGATTTACCTATTTAGATTCAGATTTCAGATTTATTGGCCAAGTAAAATTACATTTACAAGGAATTTAGCTTCGGTAGATGTTCGCTCTCTAAAACATACTACAATAAATGAGAATAAAAAATTATTTTTTTTTAGGTAAACAACTTAGAAATGCTGAGATAATCACACAGTAACATTTGTAAAACCGGCTTGAAAAGATATTTTTGCTTTGCATAGTCCACACTCTTACCTTAATTGTCAATATTGGTAAAATGTGTCCAAATCTGGCTGCATTTCCTGCTTCAACTCATGTCCTCACCTTTCTGTAGCCTGTTTTTTTCCTCCCTTTTCTCATCCTTCTCCCGCTGCTGCTCTGAGTTTACACCAGTGCCTGTCTGTATGCTGTTGTGAATTATTATAAGAGAAGGGGGGGTTATATTAATGCTAGTAACAAATAGAAATGACTATTATGTTAGTTCATGGAAATGTTGAGTTTGAATGTTCACCAAGGACATATTATTTAATTTGATTATTTAGTGATATGAGACAGTATTTCTGATTTGAAATTAGTTAAGAGGCTCAGTATTGTGTAATCTTTAAAACTTCATTACCCATGAGACTTAGCGTGTTCCCAGAAGGCTTAACGAAAAACCAGGAAGTAGAGAAAAAACTGGCGCTAAGAGCAGACATGTGATTTTCCTGTAAGGTGTTCTAATTCACTAAAGTTCGAGTTCAGCAAGACAAAGTCTCGTCTCATTCTTTATTTTGAAGAAGCTCGGTTGAGCTACAATATTTTTGGTGCCGAATCACGGGATAAAGATGACTGAAGGTGAAGATAGAGACCTCGAAGGGAGACTGGATACAGGAGGACGCATTGAAAAGGTGAAACGTAAACGACGGACAATTCGGAGTTCCACAACGAGACTATTAAACCAGATCGATGCGGAAATGTTAAAGGATGATCCGGATTTAAGCCGTATGCGGGACATGCTGGCAGTTTTAACAGCAAAAGAGGACAGCCTACAAGAGCTGGATCGTGAGTTGGAGGAATCCACTTCACTGGAGGATATGGAGGCAGAAGTTGAACTCTCGGAGGAGTATAAGGATCGCATTATCGGAACGAAAACCCGAGTACACCGCATTCTGAGGGCACGGGAACCCGTGAGTAATGACAATCGGCCGCCGTTTCGTGTGAGTGACGTCAGTGCAAATTCCTCTGTGTCCCAGCAGAGCAACCCTTCAGTTAAACTGCCTAAGCTAGTGATAGAGAAGTTTAATGGTGATGTAAGCCTATGGCAAGAGTTTTGGAGCCAATATGAGACGGCTATTCATAGTAACCTCACCCTTTGTAAAAGAGAGAAATTCACATACCTGAAAACGTATCTCACTGGCTCGGCAGCGAAGGCAGTAGCAGGCCTCACTTTAACAGATGCTAATTATGACGCAGCCATTGACATACTCCAAACCAGATTTGGAAGGAAAGACCTCATAGTAAATGCCCACATGTCTAAGCTTTTGAACCTCACCCCGGTAAGAAGATCCTCTGATGTGACGGCATTACGACATCTTTATGATGAATGTGAAATTCAGATAAGGAGTCTAGAATCAATGGGGGTGGTATCAGACAGTTATGGAAGCATGCTATGCCCCATACTTCTCCAGATGATACCAGAGGATATGGCTCTAGAATACAGCCGCCAAAAGGGAGGAGAGAATGAATGGAAGGTGCCTGATGTGCTTAAGTTCCTCCAAAAAGAGGTTCAAAGCAGAGAAAGAGCCTTACAAATGACAAAATCATATAATCAAAGAGAGAGCCAGCCGTCTCAGCGAACTAGCCACAAGCCAAGTTTTGGGAATGACATGAAACTAAAAAAAACAAATGTTACATCTGCCGCTGCACTGCATACAGCTAGCCTGAAGACACACAACTGTCGATTTTGTGATAGTGGCGACCACAAATCTGAAAAATGTCCAGATACAGATATTGCTGCACGCAAGGAGAAGCTGAAGAAGATGGGCAGGTGTTTTTTATGTTTGGGTCCAAAACATATAGCCAGATTCTGCAGAGTAAAGGGAATATCATGTGCATCCTGCAGCGGAAGGCATCATATTGCTGTTTGTGAAGGAAATAATGCCTCAATACCAGCAACACCTGAAAATACAGACACTGTCATTTCGTCAGTCATTCCCCAAGTGGATGAAAGGAAACCTAACAGTGAGAACACAGTGCTGCTACAAACTGCCAAAGCATGGGTGTCTGGTCCGCAGGTCGAAAATTAGTGCGTTGTTTGCTGGATGGAGGAAGCCAGGGAAGCTTTGTGCATAAGAATGTGGTGAAGGTCCTAAAATTGCCTGTAGTTGGTCAAGGCACGTTTAATCTCCACACCTTCGGCTCCACAGTTCCAGTGACTGCGAAACGCAATATAGTGAAACTCTGTCTGGAGAACATTTGGAATAAAGAACACAGCATTGAAATAGAAGCAGTAGTAACTCCCCAAATATGTACAGCTGTAATGCAAGTTCCTGGTGATCAGATACAGAAGGAAATGAAGAGAAGATGTCTGCCGCTTGCAGATTGGAGCCTGGAGATGACAAACCTGAACTTTCTGTGCTGATTGGCTCGGACTATTACTGGCAAATAGTCACCGGCCGAGTAGAAAGACTAACAGAGAGTCTGGTCGCATTAGAGAGTACCTTTGGATGGACGGTACAAGGTCCTGTGTCACTCTCCAGAATGACGGAAACAAGCTGCATGCACATACAGCTCACCGAAACTGCTCCACTTGACAAACAGTTGCATGCGTTTTGGGAACTTGAGTCACTTGGCATCACTGATGGAAAGACTGAATGCCTGGAGGATGAAGAAGCTCTACAGCGTTTTGATCAAACAACCATCTACAAAGATGGGCGTTATGAAGTGGAGTTGCCATGGCGACAAGAACATCCTCCTCTTCAGAACAATTATCGCCTAGCAAAGAAAAGATTGGAGGGATTGAAAAGAAAATTCAAAGGAGATGTAACTCTCTACAGCAGATATAATGATGTGATACAGGACTACTTAAAGGAAGGAATGGCTGAAGAGGTCACACAAGACGATGTAGCATCACCAGACAGCCACATGTATTATTTACCTCATCATGCCGTATTGAGAGAGGATAAAGCAACAACAAAATTGCGTGTTGTGTTCGATGCTTCATCTCATGAACAAGAAAGTCCCTCACTTAACGACTGTCTTCTGACAGGACCCAATCTAAACCCAGACTTACTAAGTGTGCTGATAAGATTCAGACTGCACAAGGTTGCATTTATGGCAGATATCAAGAAGGCCTTCCTACAAGTATCACTCAAAGAAACAGACAGGGATGAGGTGAAGAATATTATGACAGCTGCGGGAATGGAGCTTTGTAAATGGATGACAAACTCTCCAGAGCTAAAGGAAAAATGGCAAGAGAGTCAAATGCACTGTGCTGTTGAGCATGAAGTTCACGGATCAGTATTGAAGGTTTTAGGTTTAATATGGAGACCAGCCACAGATGACTTTGTGTTTGACCCCAAAGGCTTGCTCCTGATCCTAAAGCAAAGGGAGAACACAAAAAGGAGTGTCCTACAGTCAGCCGCTCGATTATATGACCCGCTAGGATTTTTGACCCCCTTTACCGTCAGAGTAAAGTGTCTGTTCCAGGAAATGTGGGAGAGAGGGCTGAGTTGGGATGAGGAACTGCCACCAGATCTTGCGCAGAAATGGCAGCAGTGGTGCTCGGAGCTTCCTCAGCTACATCAGCTGTCCATCTCAAGGTGGTATAACACAAACGTTCCACCCAAGAGCAGTCACGCTTTAAGACTGCATGTGTTTTGTGACTCGAGCGAGAGGGCTTACAGCACAGTTGCGTATTTGCAAGGAAAAACTGATGAGGGAGAAGTGACAACGAGCCTGGTTGCGTCAAAGTCCAGAGTGGCTCCACTGAAAAAAATGACATTACCACGCCTAGAGCTGATGGGCGCAGTGATCGGAG